AAGGCAGCTGCGACCAGGGTGGGTGCAGGTGGCAGTCACCTTTTGGTGCAATGCCATCACTCTGTGAACTGTGCTTTGCTGCGGACCCAGCCTTGTTCGCAGCCAGCTAGGTGTTATTGTTTTTGGTAGCTCAACACTCTTCTTGAAGACCATTACGGCTTCAGTACTTGTGCACATTCTAAGGGCCAACATTCTGTCACCCAGGAGTACTGAGCACTCAAGGTGATTTGTTTCATAAAAACGGACCCAAACATCCCGCAAACAGTACTGATGACATACTGACTGCTCATTGGCTGTGAAGACTGTCTTTCAATCAGAAAGAAACAAATTACCCCCCTCCAGTACTCTTTTTCGTACTGCTTAAGAAGATTCCAAGGCCTTCAAGTCCAACAGTGAAAGCATGCAGACAAAACTGAGCGATCACAGGGGCACCGAAGCCCAAAACGGCCACCTGAGTAGTTGCAGCACTCGGCAGCAGTAGGTCCTGTTCACTATACAAGGGCTTCGAATGTGCAACCACAACAGCTGGTGCTGACAGTACAGCAACGGTCTAACACAATGCAATGGCTTGAGGGTAGGTTCATGGGAAGGAAGCTGCCGTGGAGGCAAGCAAACAGGCTGCAGAGCACAAGAAACAACACAATTTTTGCAAGCGAACCACGATTGCCAAAAAAATAAAACGCCAGAAGCAAACTGCAAATCTTGATAAGAAAAGAAACACGGGGGAGAAATGTTTGCAACACAGGCTGTTGTGGGGGCTGATGGTCACCTGCTGGGTAGGCCCCATGTCAGCGTGGGTGGATGTTGCCACAGCCGGCTGTGGTTCATGTGCCTGAGGGCCAGCTGGCCTGGTAACGGCAGGGCGTGTGGGGGTAGGAGCACCGGACTGTGCATCAATCATTCGGTCAGATTCGCAACATACAACTGATGAATCAACTGATGAAATCAGTGAGTCAAAGCTCAGCATTGCTCAGCATTAGCCTTACGCAAGGGTGGAATTTTGAGGCTGTAAACCTATTAGGGCAATCCACCAGCACAGGATAGAGGTGGCACACTGTCCATTAATGTCGCTTTTAGTCTGGTGTACAGCTTCACAACTTGCTCACTTGGCAACATAACAATCACCCTGGAAGCCAACCACCAATTCTCCAGGATAACGTTCTGGTTGCTGTGAGACAAACTCCCTTTTGCCGCAAATGCAACCGTCGCCAGCTACTATCCCATTTGAACTGGTCCTCAGATTGCACATGAACAGACTTTATGCTTGCAGCAACACAGTGCTGGATTTTGCGACTTTTGAAGCCAAATGCCAGGGCTGAAGATCATCCTTTTGTGAACGACAAACATATCAATGGGAACCCCTCTTCAGGTGATTGCCAGTGAGGCTATTATCCATGAATAACAATATCTTGCAGAATTCCCAGACAATCAAAGTGTCCATGACTTTAAAGTGGCCATCAATCCGTTATCACAATACTTGTCAGAAGTTTTCAACCAAATAGCACACAAACGTCATTCAGGAGATTAAGGGAGACAAGGGTTGACAAGCCACTACAGGACTCCGCATGCTGGGTGCCTTCATTCATTTTCAAGCGATCATTCTTGCATCGCCGCGCACTTGCTGGAAGGGTGGCAAAAAGCACACATCTCTTCTTTTAGGACAAGGGTGACAGCTGCAGTCTCCAATATACTGAATAATATGGACGGACAGAAGCCAGGTGGCTGCTGGTGTCATTCTGAAAAGACCACATGCAACATTGATACCAGTAAGTGTCAGGTCTCCATTCTGGGTGTCTACTATGTTTCCTTGATTCTTGTGTTGCCAGTTTCGCTCATTTCAGCATTCTTCCATCACAGGGCAGAGGCTGCCAGACGATGCAACCCCACCATGCATGTCTTTGCCTCAGTAACATGGCGCAATGCATTGGCGATGATCTTCTTCCACATATCTGCCCAGTTTTGGCTAAACCACATGTCCTCTCATACGGTCAAAGCGACGGATAAACGATGCAAAAAGAAAGATGACAATACCAATGTGAGAACCAAAACTGACAACCATGGCAAATGCCCAAAATGTTTAAAATTTTGGAACCAGACTTCATCACGCTGCACCTTCCACAGATTGCATGGAATACAGTATTGGAACAAATGGAGCCATGTTGCAGATTGGGCTTCATTTCTTGGCTTCAGTGATTTTAAGTTGGCTACAACTTACTCTATGGGCATTAACTTCATAGCTGCTTGCAATATGCACCCATCATCGCCGATTCTGTTGTGCGATGCTTGCAATCCCAAGTGTTTCAAAACCTGGGTGTTGCACCTAGCATACCCAAACGTACCTGCAGCCCAAGTGCCAGCTCCCGCACTGATGCATGCGATGGCTGCTGCGATGGCGCACTACACAACCCAACAACACTGTTCAGGCCAATTCATATTCAGCTCAGCGCCTCAGTTCACTCTAACAAACTACGCAGTACTTTACTCGCAAGCAAAATGAGTTGGCAGCCACAAGCAGCCTTTTCTGGCACTCCCATGGCACCTCCAAGGGGTGGGATAGAGCTGGGAAATGGTAAAACGCCACTCTACAACACACAACGTGTGCTGTAGAACTACGCGCTGTTTAGCAGCAGCATGAGCAGCTTTGCAGTCTGTGCGGGGTACATGATGCTGCAGTGCAGGTGGCAAGCTGGTGCGGCACTCTACTGAATGCGGACGGTTGAAAATGAACCTCACAGACACAAAGAAAGTTGGCGGGTGTGCAACCCACACTAGAATGCATCAAGTTCCAGGGCACATGCAGCAGATACACACCTTGCGTCCTCATGGGACCGCTGGTTCTGGACCTGCTGTGTCCAGACCTTCATCACAGCAGCCAGCTTCTCCTGACCCACACTGTTCCTCAGTGTGGCCATAAGGTTGACTCCTTCCTAAGCCACATCCAAACTCAAAGTCAGCATCTGCTTCCCCACAGACCACAAGCAAGACAGTTTGACTGATCAAACAAAGCCTGGACGTTTCCGCATCCATCATCGCCTGCCAGGTGCAAGGGCACCATGTATCATGCCCCTAACAGATGTGATGACTGGCATCCATGCTTCCCCACAGTGCACAAGCCTGTTGGCACTTACATACGACCACCATTTCTCGATTCTTTTGGGCAGCAGCCCGTAATTGGCGTGAGGGTGCAGGACCAGCGCTTTGCAACGTTTATGCAAATGTGAGCTCACTGAATGTCTCCTTTGGTCATTTGGCCAACAGGGACAAACCAGTTGACCAAGCCTCACTCCTGTTCATGGCCTTTGGGCGTCTCTGGTTTCTCGGTACTCTGGCTCTGTGCACTTTCCAAAGCAAGCCCACCCATTTCCGTTTTGCATGTGACCCAGGTGCAACACCAGACCCATTCTGGGTTTGGCACGTGGTTTACGCACTCGCTTGCAGACCCACCAGCACGTGACACAGACACACCACGTTCCAGCGATCAAACCTCAAGCGCGCCGATCAACATCAACCGGCTCCGGCCACCTAGCGGCCCCGAGTTCCGCCCTCCGCAACTTCCTCCCCCTTCCACACACAAGCGAGTCCAAGTCATCCTCCCTCATATTATGGCACAGACCATCGCAAATTCTTGCTCAGGAGGGTTTGCCCTTCGCATCACCCATCTCTTCTCCTTCCAGCACACCCATCTCCTCGCATACACTTGCTTAGGAGGGGGCGCCCTCTGCATCACCCATTTTCTCTCTCTTTTTATTTTGCACGACCCGTTTTCTCATTCCCTTTGCAAAGAACCTCGCCCCTCGATCCCAGGTCCTGCCCTCAGCGACTCGCTCCCACCTCCCACATACAGACTCCTCTAAATCATCTCCCATCATTGCGCCACAGAACCTCACACGCCTTAGCAGGGGTCGCCCTTCGCACCTTCCACTTTCCACTTTCCATCTTCCACACACACACCCCGCCCCTCCGCCCATCCACGCACTTGCTCAGGAGGGACCGCCCTTTGAATGACCCGTTTCCTCTTTTCGTTCTTTCTTTTCGTTCTTTCTTTTCGTTCCTGTGTTCTGCACATACACTTGCTCAGCAGGGGTTGCCCTATGTATGGCCTGTTTCGTTCTCTCTCTTGTGACAAATCGTACCTCCATCCTCTGCCCCGCGGCCGCCAGCTCGTGCCCCTTCTCCTTCGTGATCAGGCCCTCCCGCACCAGCAGCGTCACCAGGTAGTTGTAGTGCCGCTTGGACGGCAGCGCGCCGCCGCCTCCGCCCGCATGCCCGCCCTGGCCGCCGTGGTTGGCCGCCCCGCCCGGGCGCTGCGGGGAGGCCTGCGGCCGGCCGCGGGGGATGCCGGGCACTGGCGCGGCGGGCACCGGCCGCGGGATCGGGGCGCCCGGAGGGCCGGAGCCAACGCCCCCGGGGCGCATGGCTTGGCTGGAGGCCAGAGGGGGATGGGCTTGGGCGCTGGGGTGTGGGATTGTGCTGTGGGAAGGTTTTCGGGGACTTCTATTTGTTTGCGTCTGGAAAGGGTGGCGTGATGTGTCCAGCAGCTTCGTTGCTGGTGGCCAGCAAGTTGTGGTTGGGTGTCCGTATGTTCGCGGCGCCGAAAAATCCATGCTGGTGCCGTGTGCAAAATCTCTGACTTTGCAGGCAGTGCCCCTCTTTTAGCCGTTCTCCTGTATGGCAAATGGCCGGCATCCCTGTTCGCGACGGCTGTTGGCGAGGGCGGGCTTTCGCTGAGCGTGTCGCTTGCGATTTGAGCGGATGCTGCTGATCAGCCGTGAACGCGTTGCGCGGTGCAGGGCGTGCCTGAGTAAGGCACCTCTGCATGAAATCTGAAAGGGAAAAGGACGGGGACACTCTAAATCTGGCTCAGAATGAGCGGTGGTTACGAGTGCGAATGTGGGAAGTTTGGTGGAACGCTTGAACCCTAGGGAGGCTCCTGAGCGGGTTGCTCTCAAGGTGTCCTGGATATCAGGGAATGCGTCGATGCGTATGCGGTACACACCACAAACAAGAAAGTGTTTGGCCAAATGCGACCCGCGCTCCAAGTCCAAAGATGGAGGGAAAGACCGTGTTGGACAAAATGGATTCCAGACTTCGAGCCCGTGAGCCAGGCTATATCCGACAGGAAACACGTATAAACTGAGGCTTGAGGCCAAGGCGCTGGCTCGCAGTGGTCAAGACGCCTTTTTCAATCTTCACAACTCACAGGCATGCAACAATGGCGACCGTGTCATGACAAGTGTGGTGCACGTTCAACGATCATGTCACATGCAAGGTTTCGTGATAATGATGACAAATGCTCATTGCACTTCAAACATGCCACTTCAGATCAACCTTCTTTTGTGCTCAACGCAGTCCCTTTTGCTTCTGAAGGCGAACCACGTGCGCACAACAGTCGACGACGCAACCTTGGAACTGGGATGGCGTGTTTATTCTATCAATCCGCAGTGGGCGGAGCCAGCTTACTGGCCCAGCACAGGCTGCTCGAACAGTGAAATGGGTGAAAACGACATTCTTGATGCGCGATGGTGATTGCTGCTCGCGGTGCAACGACGGCGGCACGAGCTGAGGCAGCACGGTGTGTGGATTCCAATGCCTTTGCCACTGATGCGAGTCTCCGCCCCACACAACGCATCCACCTCCACCGGGCATTACAGTGCAGTTTCGATGCCATAGCTACAGCCGGTATACCATTTCACACACACACACACACACGGAATCCACATCATTTGTCCACATAATTACTGCATCACTGCCTGCGGCAGTTCTTGTCTTCCTCGCAACAGCCGCCGACCCGTTGTTTATGCAAGGGCGGCCTTGGGCCTCAAGATCCAACTCGCTCTGTAAAGGCGCCCAACGGCAGAGGCCAAAAGCGCGCATGACATCCCCCGACAGTTCCTCAAACACTGGCGGCGCTATTTATGTCTGTCCTTATCTGTTGCGTGCTTCAGCAGCTGTAGTTATTCAAAGCCCGTCTCCCAATGTGCACACTGTCACGCTGTAATGTACATACCAATCACCTCCGCCCCAATCCCCACCAATCCCTTATTCTGACACAGATGCTCGTCACAAGTCTGCGTGGATATTGACCGTGCACAGCGTCAGATCGTCAATCCCCGTGGCAAAATGGTCCCTTCATCTTGTTATTGCATCTTCAAGCAGCTCTCACAGTGCATCCCCACTCAGAGATCAAACCCAGACTAGAGTCCGAAACATACAAGAGAATGTAACAAGACCTACGGTTTAGTTCTGCGATTTTCAGGCAGCCAGGGGGTTCAAACCAAGAACGCGTTGAAAAGAATCCTTGCACAGCGAACCTGAATGCCTTATTCGATGCAGCGATAGCATGCATTGGTTGCGCTTTGGTCCCAGCATCTCCTACCCAATGAAATAAAAGCACCTGTCGCCCATCCGACTGCAATCGTGGTGGGATCAAGCACACCTGTCGGCAGGTACTATCCATGGTTTGCTATCTCACTACCCAGCCTGGAGCCTATCCCACGGTCCACAATGTAGAGCATGGCTGCGAAAATGCACATGTGCCCTCCCCCACCCATGAATCACCCCTCCTCAACTCGTTCTTGGGACGTTCTTGGGACTCGTTGACCCCCTGCCAACATCGCCTTTTCGAGCTCAGTCCTGCCGGCAGAGTCGCCCGTCGCTCCCGATGAAAGGGGCAGCGGCCCATTGCAAGTCACGACCTGCGTCAATTTCTGCAGCTGAGACTTGACGCTCTTCAAAACCGACTTCTTTCTGTGCCCGCCCCCAGATCCCGCCGGCGCATCGAACCTCGCACAGCTGTGCATGCCACCCAATCGCGACCCCGGTTCACTGCCGGGTCCTCCTTTCCTTGGAGAGGCGCTCTTCAGCTCCAAGAGCACCCTTCCCACAGCATCCACAGCTGCACCATCCTGCAGCTCCCCGCCCTCCACCACATCTCCAAGGTCGGCTTTCGCCCTCTCCTCCGCAACACTGACATGTCCACATGTTCTGGCGGTGTCTTCCACGAAGCAGTCCTCGGCGAAGCACGTCTGCTGTGGGGAACTGACAGGGCTGTTGACAGGGCTGATGGAAGTGGTCCCCTCATCCCAACCAGCCTCGTCTTCCTCCAACAACGGAGGCATTCTGGCCGTCCCCATGTTGCAGGACGTGCCACGATGCACCTCTGCCACCAAGTCATCGTCGTCTTCCCCCATCCATATCAGCTTGAGCTCCTGCTGCCATCGTTCCAGACTTCTGGGCGTCAGGGAGAAGGGGTCTGCGCAGTTTTTGGCTGCCTGGCTCAGTGCTGGGCCTGCATCCCGTTGGCCATGTCTGCCAAAGGCCACCTTTCCAAGCTCCAGGTCTGGAATCGCAATGGTGTGAGGGGCACCGCCTTGAACACTGTCTCGTCGAGGTTTGGCGATGGGGGAAGCCGTAGTCTCTTCCACAGTATCGTCAGAGAGGCAGTCATGGAACTCATTAGAGTCCAAGGACTCTTGGTCCACTTCCTTTGACGATGGTGTTGGGTCGCCAGCCTTTGGAGCAGTGCCAGAAGTCGAGCAATCCTTCTTTGCCTCCAAATAGGGAAAGTCTGGAAACAGGCAGAGGGAACTGCTGGCGGCTGACGAACCCCAGGTGAGGCCATGCTCTTCAAATGGCTGTGACACCAGGGATCGGGTCGCGGTCCCACCAGTGCAATCCCCCAGGGTGATTGCCGAGTCATGGAAAACCTGCTGCTTCTGGTGGCTGCGGCCATCCACACAGTCAAACAAGAGGCTGATCCCCCTGCATTGCTCCTTTGCCGGGGCAATCCTCTCCCCACAGTCACAAGTGTAGCTGCAGCCATCTGCCTGGCATTCGTCAGTCCCACACTCTGCTTCGGAGTCATCGCTTGCTGACTGCAGGGATTCTTGGCTTGCCGCGCCACTGTGGTTTGTCATGGGCAAATCTATAGCAGCCTCAGGCATCTGGGGTGCAGAGCTCACCTCCTCAGGGGAAGAAATCGACGACAACGATGACGACAGCAACGACAGCACCTCTGCGGACTGCAGGGCACACTGCCCTCCCTGGCGCTCCAGCTGCTGCAGCAGGCTCTTGTCCACAGACATGGCGCCGTCAAAAATGTCCGTCAACTTCAGTGTCTCGTTCTCCTCCCTTTGCTGCGCAACGGGAAGGATTATGCTTGCCCCCAAACTCTTTCCCCGTTCGTCTTCCTCCCCGGAATCGCTTCTGAGGGGGTTGTTGAACCATGTTGTGAGCTCGCTCTGGCACCCAACCAGCAGTTCTGCCGGCACGGGCTCATGACATCCCCTTACTCCGTCCTCATCACTCCACACGGCCTTTTGTGGTCCGCCTTGGGGACGCATGTCAGCCTGGTGCGCCAGGCCCTTTGAAGACTTCATATCTCTAAGGGCAGCCAGTATGCCGGCGCCCAGGTTGGACGCGGGCTGCTCGCCGTTCACCGTCAGGGCGCGATTGATCGCGTCCTGCAGCTCAACGGTGGCACGGCTCAGTTGGCACACGGGCGTCGGCGGGCTGCCGGCTGAGGAGGGCACGTCACTGTCGACCGACGACTGGTCGCCCCCAATGTGGATGAACCTGGACTCGGGAGGGCAGTCGTCGTGGCCCCAAGTGAAGATGCTGTTCACCGACGCCCACGTCGACCCCCTGGACATCAAGTCCGCTAAGCCCAGCGCCACCGCATCGGGTGGCGCTGCCCCCGGTCGCGGAGAGTAGGTGTCGGAGGACCCCGACCATGACGACGAATCGAAGGACGGCGTGCCCATGCTGACGAACCTGGAGGCGCCGCGGGTGCCTCGGCGCGAGTGAGAGGACTGCGAGTCCAGGATCAGGAACCTCGACTGCTGGCTGCACGGTTTGGAGACCCCCATGCAGCCGTTCGCCCTGCGACCCCATCCAGCCCCACCGCCCTTTGCGCATCCCTCGCTTTCCTCCCCGCTGTCGTCGTCGCAATCACCGCCGCCTTCATTTTCATCATCCCCGCTCTCCCCCGCATCCACAGAGTAGCTGTCTATCAGGGGCTCCGTGGAGGAGCCAGACGCTCCCCGCGCCTCGGCCCCCATCAGGTCCAAGGCCCTGCCCCTGTGGAACCAGCCAGAGCCGAGGCGCCCGGATGCCTCAGAGCCGGAGCTGTTATCTCCAACTGTCCTACTGCGCACATGCTTGGGCTCACCATCCACGCACTTCACAAATTCGCTTTGGTCGATCGTAGCCAGGGTGCCAGGCGGTGCTCTGGACGTGTAGGAGAAAGCAGCCTGGTAGCTGCCAGGCACCGGGGCTCTTTTCTTTGCAGGTGGAGGCACATACTCTCGGCGGGCGTACCGGGGTGACCTCGCGTGCTTGGTGCCAAAACAGCCGCACAGCCTGAGTGCCATTGTGGAGGGTTAAGCCGGCTAGCGATGGCGGGCCCCACACGGTCTAGGAGGCAACACCGGGAGGAGCCAGTCGGGTGGCTGCCTGCACAGTTGGCACTCCTTTGCAAGTGCACACTGTGCAGGGCAACCCCGCACTGGTAAGGCCCGATGTGGATTCACCCCACCGGTGACAGGTCAACAGATCCCCTTTGGGAATCTCCACTTCACTGTTTATGGTCCACCATTGTCTCCTTCGTCACCTGCCTTCTACTCTACTCTAAAGAACGCTGTTTTCAGCCTTGCTTTGAACCTGGCAAAGCAACACACAGTGCCATCAGCGCAGCTACATGGACAAGTTGCGCACTTCCTGTGAATTTGCGAAATTCACAGAGCTTCCTCCCTCAAAGATCCCGCAGTCCTGTTCTCTCTGCGCCGCATAAACGGAGCTGCAGGAATGGATCTGCAGAAGGGAGCCAAATCCAGTGGTTATCCCGTGCAACCAATCTTCGCCTCTGGGAGCGCCCCCAGCCCTCCTCGGCTTCTTTGCAAGGGCACCTGGCATGGCGCCTCCACCCAGACACTCCGAAAACGAACAAGTGCCACAACTGCGTGTCCCGGACAGGTCAACGGTGCGACATCGGGGCGGGGTCTGGTCGGGAATCCAACCTCCGTCGGCGGACGCTTCCAAACCGGCCATAACGCCCAACGGTCGATCGGCATCAAAACAAAAGCGCCTGGGAGCTGGCAAACACGACCCGGGCGTGGGGCTCAGCGCCACAGCGCTGGAGCTGAGATGCACGACCAGTGCACGGGCTGTCCACTCCATGGACCCGGAAGGCCCGTGTCTGCTGCGACAGCTTCTGGGCACTGCGCACGGATTGGTCTTCTCCAATTTTCGGCAGAATCCACCTGTCCGTTCCATGGGTCCAGTTGTCTCGTTTCGCGGTGAAACATCCGAGCAATGAACACCGACGAACGCTGTCCACCCTCCAACTCTATCGGTTACCATGGACAGCAGGATAGCCCTAGACGCAGGGGCAACGTCCCCGCCGTCCGCTGTCTCGTTCCCGCTGCCTTTCGTGCCGCGAGGAAACGCTCGACTCCGCCGCTTCCCGCGCGATCGACTGGATCACGCGTTTGGGGATACATGGGCGTTGGGCATTGGGCGATCGCGGGCCTCCTCTCAACAGCTTGTTGTGCGCAACATCCCCTGGCCAGAAACCGGGCGGCTCTTTGTGCACGTCCGCGCGGCGGGCAGCAAGATGGCCAGGCATGCGGCACTACAGACGACCGGCATTTGCATGTTGCACGTGTCCAACGTAGCCAGGAGTCCAGTCGCTCTCGCGACGCCGAAGGGACAGCGACACAGTACCGGATTCTGGCCGCTGCCCACATCCCAGGGCTTCCCTTCAGCCGCCAGGCGCTGGCTGCGGCGAGCAATCACTGATTGCCGCCCCACCCCAAGGGCTGTTGATCGGGATCGTCACACTTGACCGAAAGCGCAGGTAAGACGAGGCGGAGCTTACAAAACTGGCTCAAGCCGCAGGAGGTCACCGCGCAATACGGCTGCCAGTCCCGGCGGCCGCCCAAGAGCCTTTTCACCTCAAGACCGATCAGTACTCAGCGCGCGAAGGGCGCGATCGCCACTGCGGGCCACCAACGCATGAGCTCACAACGTGGGCGCCGAACGCCGAGCGACGGACACCCCACGCCCGCTGCCTTGGGCGAATTCAACCAATCAGTCAGGCCGCGGCACGGCGGCGTCCAAAGCTTTCCGAGCAGCACCGCCGCCGGGGGGTCGCTGTCCGAGATGCGCGATGGGCCTCCGACGGGCAACGGGCGTCCGACGAGCCGAGCGAGGGGCACAGCCCCACGAAGGGGGCCACGGAAAGGCCAATCCGACATCACCGCGGTCACCAGGGGCGCCTAAGTCCACCTTACTCGCTGATTCCCGCCTGATCGCGACGCGTCCGCGCCTCCAGGCGGCGCCGACAGCACAAGCACGTGCCCACAACGACAGACTGCCTGCGCTCGAGGCTATGAGGGAAACGGATCGGACTGGGTGCTCACTTTCAAAGGCGGCCTCGGCGAAGTCGCGATCCTGCTCCGCGAGGCGCCCCGCCGGCCCTTGCTCGAGCGGGGCCTCCCCGCCGCTGCGCGTCGCTGCGGCGGCCTCTGCTCGCTTCTCCGCGCCGAGGCCCGGAATGCAGCAGAGCGGCGTCCGTTATGCACGCCCGGGCCCGGTTGATCAACATTCTCCCTCGCGTGTGGACGCATGGTACGGTGCAGTCACCGCCCTGTACCGCACCTTGGTGACAGGGCCGACAGAAATTTGGGCGGACATTGTTGCTGCTCCCAGATGGACGTGTGTCTTTCATCTGGGCAGTGCTGGTGGTGGATGCAGGGAGGGATGCGTCGCTTTGGGGATCCGTCAAAAGGGGGACGGGGTTCAGGCCGTTCGGGGCACACTGGCGCGGGCCGAGCGCTTGCATCAAGGGGGTCACCCGGCGGGGGCCGGAGGCTGAAAGGTGGGAGTTTCTGTGCCCGGGGCCGCTCAATGGGGGTTGGGTGGTGCGCTCGCGTGTTGGGCGCGGGCGCGGCGTGGATGCAGTGGGGTGAAAGATCATGGAGACAGGGAGAGGATGCCATACGCCCCAGGCCAGCTGGCCGGCTGCGGCGTTGTGGTGCGTTGAGTGGAGGCGTTTCCAAAGACGGCGCCATCAGAAGATGTGTGCAGCGGGTGCAAAGCCGCATCATGGCAAACGCGCGGCCGTCATGCAGGCGCCAAACGCCAGTGCGATCTTTAGCGTTATTGGCTCATACGGTGGTGATTTTAATGGCTTCTGTTGCCAGAGCATGTTTTGCCGGAGCACCTTCTGCGCGTATTCGCGCAGCTTCTTCGCACCTACCAAGCTCCTCGTTTCCCCAATGTCCACTTCGCGGCTGGCCCCTCCAAAACCGCCGCGCACCCCGCGGCTCCCTTTTGAATTCTTAGCAGCAAAGCTGAGCAGCCACCTGTTATTCAGCCCCTGCTGGCCCCTTTTCGGCGTCTGCTCTCAGATACCATCACGGTCGTGCATCAGCCTCCCAGCAGAAGCAGCAGCTCCCCAGCCGCGGATGGCGCATTTCCAGGCGGACAGCTGCGACAGTTCAAACAAGCTGGAGACGCCCATCAAAGGATCGAGACACGCGCCCAAGCGGCCCACGCAGGCAAGTTATCGGACGTTTTCTCGCCGCCGAAGGGGGGCGAAACCGCCATGTTTTGACGTGAAGGCCGCGCACCGGCCCCTTTTGGCATCATTCTTCGCTGGCCCTGACGTTGTGGCTCCCGCCCATGTCGGAGGCTCCTCCGCGCGTGAGCTCTGGCCAGTTCAGCGCGCGCCGGGCGCGGCCGGGCGCGTCCACAGGCGGCGCCAGCGAGCCGCGGCCAATTGCCATCACAACTCGCGAGTTGTCGATCGACGGGATGAATGACCGAAAGGGCGCGGGGAGGAAGACATTCTAGGCTCAGTCTAGAGTCCACCCGCACATCTTGACGACCAGGGTCCCCGCCTATCTTAACACGGACGGCACTTGCGCTGTCGTGGCCGTAAGCTGCGCGACCACGGACGCTGCAGTTCGGAGCCGTGCGCCACAGATCCACGGCCACATTGAGCACGCTGACCTGCGGCTGGTGCAGACTAATGCGTGAGGCCCCCTGTCGACTGCAGTCGAGCGACAGCCTGCGATCCAGTCAACGGCGCGGGTCTCCGAACGGCCACCGCCGCCCCAGGGCATGCCAACGCGTTCTGCAGACCACGTCGCAAGGGCGTGCGGCGCGTTGCTGCGCTAATGGTGGTGACCGGGCAACCTCGGATGTCGATGGCAGGGCTTGGCTCTGCCCGTGTCACTGTCCTCGTCCTCGCACCTGGGAAGCACCGGTGCGGTGTATTTTGCGTGGGTCGACGCGTGCCAGCCAATTTGCGCATGGGCAAACGTTCATACGACACACGCCCGCGTGGTTGTCCAACGTTTGGGACTGCGAGTCCAACGGTGGACGGCCAGCGGTGTCAATCGAGGGTCAGATGGGCGGGAGCCGTGCCCAATGGCGCACCGAGGACATCGAAATGCACAAACTCGTGCGAAACCCGTACGGCCGTCTCGGTCTGACGTTTGGCAACTTCGGCGCTGTAGCTCTTTTCGTTGCATTGGGAGAGGTGACACATCACGCTGTTGTGGGTCGTTGTTGTCCAAGACATGAGGAGTCAGGCTGCGAGTTTGCGACAAACGCCTGGCGCGGAAATCAGCAAGCGAAATCGGCCGCCGCATGTCGAGTGTCAGAGTCCAATGCGCCCGCCGTCTTTTGGTACAACGTCGCGCTCGTGGACATCGTTTGGCACGCTGCGCCCCGGGCAGCTGCCTGTGAGCCTGCCGCAGCAGCGCATGTGCAGATGCTGGCCCCACATCATTCAGGCAGCGTCGACATTTCTAGGGGCACATGTTGGGACAACCGTTGTCAACTGGAGCACAGATGCATGGGAATCGCTGCATTTCAAAGGACCCTAAGGACCCTGCTCTGGCAAAGATGTGTCGACAGGTGACACAATCCGGACGTGCCTTGGCAGCCGTCGGCTCATTGCAGTTTCGGGAGACGATGGTGGGCTGCCCCTCAGAAACCTTTACCTAGTGAATCCCAGGGGACTACCTTTCTCCGCCTACTGTGGAAGGAC